TGTGGTGATATTTCGTTTGTGCTCCAAAGTTTCCCTCGTTTCCAAAATATATGTAAGGAAAGCTTTACAGCTGTACTGTAGAACAGAGTTCGAGCAGACATTCTTGAGGTACAGGCCGAGTAGAAAATAACGAATGGTCACATAATTGCGAATATTTAACATGTGTGCCCGATGACAAGCCGATCTAAAAGACAGAAAAGGTGAAAACATATGTGGTCGGGATTTTCAAACATCAGTGTGATAATCGAATATGGTAAAACAAAACCGAGAAAATTTGACTACATTGACTCTTTTTACAGTCAACTGCACTGGAAGATACATAAGGTAGTTCTTTTGCGACTATTTATCATTTTTTGTGAACTTAAGTGGCTTGAAGTAAAACAACCTAACCTCCACCAGCTAATCATAAGGCTGTTACTAACATTTAACAGCATGACAACCTACCAACATACAGCAGATCGAAAGCCAACTTTCAAGACATCTGATCGAAATAAATATGAATACGAAGACTCAGAAAAACGAGACAGGTAGCCGGTATTAAGTAAAGTGTAACCCAGCTCGACGAAACAATACAGACACTATGAACGTGGTAGAGGTAATCAAATTTGATCAAATCATAATATCAACAACTCAGTCTTCAGTAATAAGGATAGTAGGTCGGTGAACCTGTGTTAATCCTGACAGATTGCCTTCCAGTGAAGGTCCAGTTTCTCCTTATGAATATTCACCGATGGGTCTGATACCACTTGTTCGGGTGAGGCGTTCCAGTCATTGACCACTCGACCCTGGCCGTTGCGCCCGATATGGGGCTCTAACCCCCGACACCCAGATTGAAAGTCTGATGCTCTACAGACTGAGCTAACCGAGCTCAACTGCAGTAGAAACAACATATCGATGAAAAAGCTTAGAAAATGAGATATGTCTTTTATATGACTCGTAAAGATGGGGAAAACTATAAATTCTGTCATAAGCACATGATTCTGAGTAGTTTCTAGAACGGTTGTAACACTTACAAATAACAGCTGAGCAAAATTGGACGCGAAAAATCTTTTTATTTGTTTAATAAGATGAAATCCACTGCCTTTTTGTTTTTTGTTTTACTTGACAGTATTTTAGTATGGCATTTGAAAATCGAGGTCATATGTGGGTTGTAAGTCTTGGTCCCTAAATTGAGTGTATGTGTTAGAAAAACTGAATAATTGTTGGTAAGGATTGGTGTTAGGTGTTATTTAAGATGGTTACTCGGGTTTTGAGGTCAGGAACATCATCGGTGATAATAAAATTCGACCCACTTATGGTTTTCAGGATGGAATTATTAATTTATTAGTGGTTTAGATGGAAAATTAGTTAGATATTTTGCAGAAACTGACATCACTTGTAATGCATGAATAATCTATATTCTTTATGTGTTTATGATGAGCTGTTATAAATTAAGTGAATTTGTATATGAAGGTAACCCAATCTCCTAATTCTGGGTAAGATGCAATAGAAAATTTTTGGGAAATGGCACGAAAACACAAAATTTTGCACAAACCTGGGAAATTCCACAAAACTAGGGATTTTCCAACACAGGGAGATTGGGAAGGTTTGGAAATGAATGAACAAGTAAATACGGGGAAATAATTACATAGTGATAGTATAAAAAAATCAGGTAGTTGTAAATAACATACATAAGTCTTAATTAAAAAAACATCACAACAATAACTTTCCGGGAATTTATGTGGGTAATACGAATAAGTGCGAAGCAGTTTTATCTTGATGTACGTTTTCAACTCCTATAACAAGCTTAAGAGGATGGTATATGGTTACATACGAGATTGTCCGGCCTCTTCTTGAATACCTACTAAGGGAGCTGTGGTCACATCGTTTGATAGAGTATCTTATATAGATATTTTCGGCAAAGTAAGTTCTTTCTTCGATAGAAAACTTTGCTGATGTTATCCAAGGCACCGATGTAATTCAGCGAGGTCAGTCAGTCAGTCAGCTACAACGTAGGACCAGGCACATGTGTGCATCGGTCCAGGTTGCCATACCGCATCAGCACAACAAGATGAACACCGGATTCATAACAGTGGTTAGGTAAAAGGTGGTAATATATAAGAGAAAGATTGCATATAGAGATATAATACAAGAAGAATTGGTTAGTAGAAAGAAAGATATGAAGCGCTTTTAATCTCTTAGTTTAAGGGAAGACAGGGAGTGTATACACCGACGCCATTGTGATCGATTCTGAGCCATGTCACCAAGAGTCTCCAACCATTGGTTACGATAGTCACGCGGACCCCAACCAAGTAGTCTGCATCTACCAACATGGCTCAGACTAGAAGTTAGTGTCTTCAAGCACTGATGCCACGTTTTGGTTTGGCCGCCCCTAACTTTCTTCCAACCATTTCCAATACCGGATAGCATTGCACGTCGTGGTAATCGGTGTTCAGGCATACGTAACACGTGGCCCAACCATCTCAGTCGATGAAGATACATAACCTCATCAACTGATTTACCATCCTTTCCTAATACCCTGCGTCTAACCTCACTATTACTTACCCGATTATCCCAGCAGACGCCAGCAATATTTCTAAGGCATTTGTGGTCAAATACTAGTAGCTTACGAGTGTCTTCTACTCTTAATGGCCATGTTTCGCTACCGTAAAGTAAAACAGAACGGACTGCCGCGCAGTATACTCTTCCTTTTATTGATAGACGGATATCTCGCCTCCGCCACAGGTGACGTAAGTTGGCAAAAGCCGAACGAGCTTTTCAAATCCGTGCTGAGATTTCGTCTGATACCAACCCATTAGGGCTGATCAGACTTCCAAGATAAGTGAAGTTGTCAACGCGTTCGACTACTTCACCCCCTATCCTTAGTTCAGGTGTTAACGCAGACCAGTCCTGAAACAACAACTTGCATTTCGAGGGAGAGAAGCGCATTCCAAACATCCTGGCATTGTTGCTCAGTGCTACCAAAAGACTCTGCATTTTATCAGCGTCTTCACCAAATAGGACTATATCATCTGCGTATTCTAAGTCGATAAGTGGACCTCCTGGATGGAGATCAATACCCGAGAACTCAGTCGACGAGAAAGTTATTTCCATCAGTAGGTCTATGATGAAGTTAAACAAAAATGGGGAGAGTGGACAACTGCCTGAGGCCGGTCGCGCACGGCCTTTTCGTGGAAGGTTTTTGACATGTTAGCTCCGTTCTTCAAAGGGCCTTACCGCCGGAGACGGAAATCCGTGAGGTAAGGTGAGGTGTGCATTTTTAGGGTCGACCTTTTCTAACCCAACCCCTCCTTGTGGGAAGGCAGCATCGCTGTCATGCTGGTTGTCTGAAGGAAACACCTTACTGCTGTCACACCTCTGTACAGTCAGCAGTACGACTTCGCCTTCGGACCTTAGGTTTGTTGCTTTTAGTTTTACCGCTCTTCAACCGACCTGTCTGACATGGTAGGACCTTGAGGAACGGTTGTTCCAGCCAGTATAGCTCGGTTGCTTCATCACGATAGGCAAGCCCGACCACCACGTCAAGGTAGCAACAACGGTCGGGAATTCAGCGAGGACTAATTTACTATGGTGTCTCGAACCACTAAATGTTACACACGGTTATTAAGTTATCTTTTACTCTTCTATGCTCCATTGAGAATAGTTTCAGGTGATTATTCCTTTTTTTAATAAGGTTCGTCCTCTAAACCTGTAACTCACGTCTAGCACTCTTAAAAAGTTATGTTGGTGATTTGAGATTCTGACTAGTGTCATGTTCTTTTATTTATCAACGTGACGAGCATATACGTTCTCTTCGTTCTGATCTCTCGCCACTCTGAGCATCCTATGCCCGAACATCATCTATATTGTCAATCGGTGTTGTCTTCCACAAAATATGTATGACCCCGGCCTTCCAGTGTTTCCAGTGATAAACTGGTTTCATCATATGGTATTAAGGTATTCTTTGTCTTGGAATCTGTTTACATAGTTAAATTAAGGAGCAAATGACATATCGTTCATGAGAAAATGCGTTGATTATCTTTTTTGTCTATAAAAAACCGTTGAAAAATATCCAAATCCTTTGGATATTTCTTTGTTCTCTTTTATTTAAACGTACAATACTAGTAAATTCAGTTATCGAGCGTTAGGCTGGCCCCAACAAGCATTTTTCTAGTGAAAATGGAACTGTGTGTGTAGTAGTAGGTTATGTCGGAAGGAATGACAGCCTATTTCTTGAGTTATTCAGTCGTTGCTCATGGAGTGACAAGCATTACTAACTTTTTTGGGTCATGCATTTTATGTTCATTACTAATAACACCAATATTTCAACCCCTTTACTATTAGCCGTGGTAATTCACCTCACATTAATATGATGCAATAGCCTAGATTAATGTCCGCTACAACGTAGGACCAGGCACATATATGCATCGGTCCATGTTGCCATACATCATTAGCATAGCGAGACGAATACCGGATTCATATAAGTAGTTAATTCAGTGGTGGTAATATATAAAAGAAAGATTGCATAGCACAGGAAAAAAGAATTAGTTAATGTGCCTTTGTGTCAGGCTGTAAGTTGATCAAAATGGATTTAGTGCTTCTTCGTCTCATACTAACTTTCCTTTCTTCACTTCGTTTTTGCTTTCAATTCTGGAACCACATCGGTACGTAAATCTCAATTTTCTGAAAAGCTTCTCTAATGTTGGTATTCCCACTTCATCATTCTATTGCAACAGATACAGGGTATTCCATGAACATATACATAACATCCTCCCATGCATCCAGCGTCTTCTATGAAGAAATTGCTCCCAACATACTTTTCACCGGATAACATTGTAACATTTCGGATTGTCGTGACGCAGTTAACGTAAATATACTTCGTTTTTTTCGCCAAATTTACAGCTTTTTTGTTTACCCGTTTTTCTGTCTCGATCTAGATGAACAATTTTGCTGGACATACGATCTGAAAAAGCTAGTTCGATTTCCTCTAAAACCAATTATTCATCCCAATAAGATTTGTTATGCCAAAAATTGAGTATATTGGTCGTCCATCTTTACACTTCTACGGCAAGCTCCTGTCAGAAATAGCCAAAAACCTTAAAAATCGCGCCAAGGGTAGAGTAGTAATAAAGGAAACTGAAACAGCAAAATTCAAGGAGCCATGCTATTACATTTTAAAAAATGTTGTTCCACTTATGTCCGATAAAGTTAGTCATATTTTCAATAATATGCTTCTGTCTATGCGAACTGCATATTTCAGTTCTTCAAATCTTAGGCTTTTGGTAGTTTCAATCCAATCGCTTACATTTTTACAGGTTTGTAATGTAGCTAACGTAAATGTAACCAGCTGTCAAGTAATGATCTTCGTCAATAGTGATATACATATATTAATATCACATACTTGTTTTATTTATTTATTTAAACACGAATATTGGTACAAGGAGGTACCAGATACATATGCGCTACATAAATCTCAATTGATTTGTGTGAGAACTGTGATACTGCCTGGGTGCTCAGACCGAACCAGGTGGTTTTCTTAGAGGGCCACACCCGGAACCTTCGACCCGAAGGTCTGATCCACAAGGCAGTGGAGCATCGTAAGGAGATGCAGTCGGATGGTAGTCGGTGACCAACGATCGGTTCATACGCCATTTATTCCCTCAGGGTACTGGAGCCCATGTGCACTATTGGTTTGGAATCAGGGTTATTCAACTCGCCTAGGTGGACTTTCCATGTCCAGACATTCGCTTTTCATCCCCTTAATTTCGTAAACAACATCCATGGTGCGAGAAGTTAGTGAGTAGGACTTCCTTGGCAGAGACTATATAGGCATGGCCATGTGTAAGCGTTTCGAAAGGGAGAGCGGACTCTCCCCACTTTCGGCCGTACCTGGGTATTTGGGGGCATATCACCTACTTGCTTAAATTGAAACAGGTGAAGTCAATAAAAAATGTTTTTATGATTTATGGTGGCCAGATATTTTGATCGCCAAACCAAAGCTTAGGTAAACTACTTAATAATATTAAAGTCTCAAAATTTGAAAGTGAATATATGACGTTCCAAAGATCGGTTCTGTTTTCGGTCATTAATGTTTGTTTATACATAGAAGAGCGGACAGTTTAGATCGAAGAACCTCTTTATTTTCGAGTACTTTCTTCATCAAAGCAGAGCTTATTTTTCGTTTTTTTAAAAAGCTTTTAAGGGCTGGATGAGTCAACTTTTGTCAAAGCATTGCATAAACGCCTTCATATTCTATTAGATCTTATTCGAATTAATTTTACTTAAGACGAGAAAATTAAGTCCACCATTCATTGCCTCTTATATTAGAGGATACTAACCTACAGAGCGATGAAACAACACACTTCGGAATGGATGTGCTTTACTTTGATTCCTACACTAGTCGTAGTCAAATGGTTTATATCAACTCAAAATCCTCATCTTTATTTGATAGCAAAAGTTCAGTCAGAATACAAATTCAGTCTCTGTAGGACTCAGAACACGAATATGGTGATTTATGGAATTCTCAGTCAACTTTTGTAAAACTGATTTGTCTGTGTTCAGTATAGTTATGGGAAATTAATTAGTTACATCAACTACTCCATCCCTTCGAAACTTTACACTTATCTGCTTGATTAAGTCATTTATGTGCTCTAGGAACCAGTATTTGTATTAGTTTCAACATACTTATCTGTCAACTAGGTATTCAATATAGAGTGTAAATGTAAGCCTAGATCTTTTAAACTTCATCTAAATAGTCATTTTGGCGATTACCTAGTCTATCATGTTAATTTCACTGAACTTGATGAGATATTTCACATCACAGTTGAGTGATTAATGTTGTCATAATTGGTGTAGATGAAGCTTAATTTGGTCTACTGCATATATTTTTACTGAAATGTTTTACTTATCACCTTTTGAAAAATAACTTACTGCTTCAAGTAACTCGAATATACTTATGCTAAATAGTCTGATCGAATGTGTCAACGTTTACGAGTTTATTTTTGCTGCTGAATTTTCTATTTTATCATCAATTATCTGGGTTCATTTTTATAAAGTCTGATGTTAGATGTAGAGCATGGGGTATACGGGTATTCCGTGGCCGAAATCTTGGCTATTGTCTCCTACCGAATACACATGAACCAGATTGGCGTCTTCTATCACCTAGTGAAGCTGAACGTCTAACGTCCATGTCAACAAAAACTGATTTGGTCGCTCCGGATGTTCCAGTTAGCTGCGTTGCTCAAGCTCCCCCTTTGTTAACAATATTTTTACGAAGAAAAAATGTACTTCCACCACAAGTAGTGGAAGAAGTTGAAAAATCTACTCACTCTTTAGACATACAACAATCAATGAGAGAAGCTAGTGGTTTATTATTGTTAACGCCTCACCGCTATGATCCGACAAGTTTCAAAGTAAGTATTGTTTCTGTTAAAAAAATTTATAAATTCGTTTACTACTTCCTACCAGTTGTTTTGTTTTTCTTCTCTGTCGGTATGTCTTACCAACTATGAGTGAGTGAGTGAGTCAATCGCAACGTAGAACCTGGTATGTGTGTACATACTCCATTAGCACAGAGAGATGAAATTGTCAGGCCGAATTCCAGAATAGTTGAGGTGATAATAGTATGAGTGGTGACAGAAATGACTGGACATCGAAGATAATATTTAAGAAAATGTAAACTAACGAAATGAAAACAAAAAAGTTCTTAGGAATTAAGAAGCTCAGGATTTGGGGGAAAACAAAGAACGTATTTACCTGCCCCATCGCAAACGGTTTTGATACATGTCATTTAAAGTCTAACCATTGGCTACTATAATCATATGGGTCCCAACCAGGTAGCCTACATCCATTAACATGGTTCAGTCCAATGAGTCAACTCATGCAGCCACTATTTGTAATAAGCGATCGATACCCCCTAAGATATTCTAATCCGTCCACCTAGACTACCATCCTGAAATACAGTAAGACTAGACAAGTACTGCACATCATTATATATTATTCAAACTGTAAAACTCATTTTGTAGTGAACGGGAACACAAGTGGGGACAACCGAATGTATGTGAACACAAAATCACAGAACGTCTTAGTAAAGTCTTCATTTGCAAAATGTCAATCAATCGTCTCAAACTTCATTGTTCTTTCGTTCCCACACTAATCATTTCCTATCCTTGTTTTGTTCTCTTCAATCTTCTTAAACATTTGCATCCAGGCATTCCACTAACGGTTGATGATACCTACTACTTATATCTGTCGATATCAGTAGCACACACCACAACGCGATTATATGTATACAATAAAGAACCATGATACACCATAAATAATACATTTCAATGTATGAAAAACTAGAACATCTACAATACAAAACTGAATAGTAGGTTAACGATTAAATCACTGTTATTAATGGACGAAATAAAAGTTTACAATTAGAACAATTTCTAACACTACAAATCAATTATTTAATAAATTGCACATTTAAAAATATTTACACCGATTCACTGATGAATAACTCCCGAATTTTCCTATATCTATTTATTTACTCATTCATAACATTACTCTGTGTGATTTTATGCGGTATATAATTTGACCAAAATTATTCATTCATAGTGGACACGGAGAGTCCACCTAGGGGAGTTGGAAAACCCTGATTTCAAACCAATAGTGCACATGGGCTCCAGTACCCTGAGGGAATAAATGGCGTATGAACCGATCGTTGGCCACCGGCTACCATCCGACTGCATCTCCTTACGATGCTCCACTGCCTTGTGGATCAGACCTTCAGGTCGAAGGCTCCGGATGTGAACCCCTAAGAAAACCACCTGTTTCGGTCTGGACACCCGGGAAGTATCACAGCCCTTACACAAATCAATTGAGATTTATGTAGCGCATATGTATCTGGTACCCCTTTGTACCAATATTTATGTGTTCAAATAAATAAATGAAATCATTCATAGTTACGTAAAATAAAACACACACGTGTAGGTGGGTGACAGATTTAGTCGTATAAACGAGCTATTTGTTAATACTATTCCCTTCTCATCCAATTTGTCATGCATAGATTTGTGCTGTTGGTGCATATTTGATTGATTTAAACTATTGTATACTAAACAGTTTATTTATCTAACTTCTTTAGAATAAAAACTACGTAGAATATGTTACTAAATTATACGAAAATAAACAATAATTCACCATCAATATAGTTGGTAAATACACCATCTATACTAATACCTGAAAGTTTTCATAGTTAAAAATTGTTCATTAAGCAGGTTGATATCAATCTACAAATATTTTCAGAAATCTCAAACAGACTGTAGAAAATAATAAGTTTGTTCTCATGAACTTCAAAAAAGTATAATTTATTTCCTGTTCTTCAAATTTTGACATTTCTTAACCATACGACTGTGCTTTCTCAGCGCAAGAAAAATAACGTAAACGTCAGATGAGATTTCATCAAGAAACAAAAGCTTTCTGGGGGCAAAACCATGTTGTAAACGTACTTTTTTCCTGATACAGTGTATGAAAACTTCAACTGATGAACGTATGTGCTAGGTTGCTTACGCCACTTATGAATAACTGAATGTGTTGACGAAAGTCAATGAAGTTTCACGATTAAGCAACCCAACTTATAGAACCTAACATTAATGAATTCCATGTTCTCAGTCAGAATTTTCACCATCTTAGAAACATGATTACATTCTGCATCCTTAACTCTTTGATTATAAAAAACTTAAAACACTTAATGATATTAAGAATTTGTATATTAAGATGACAGGCCTGGTGATGAAATATTATTGGATATGGACAATTGATTAATCAATTAATTGAGCTCTATTTCAAAAATGCTTTTGATTGATCTGTCTTATTTAGTCTATTGTTGTAGAGTTTTATACGTCCTCAATGTCTCAATAATGACATGAAGAAATCTATAAACAGCGATAACTGGAGTGAAGAAAACTTTAAATTATGTAAAAAGAATATTGTCTTCAATAAATTCTCTTTAGGTTTTACAGTTGTATATCCAAATTAACAATTCAGTAAGTGGTCAGCTTTCGGAAAAATTGATCGTTTATAATTAATGTATGTGAATTTGGGATTTTTAGTAATATATAAGAAAATAAAATCAACAACTTGAACGTTTCAAATCAAATGTTGTAGATTGCTGCTGTCCGTTTAAGAACAGTATATGCAAATGCAAATACATTTTAAGTAAAAAAAAACACGGGGAGAGCTATTAATAAACTTATTAATAACAAAAATTTGATTATTACGAAACCTGAAAAAGGAACAGGAGTTGTCCTACCAAACAAAAAAGACTACATTGACAAGATAAATAAAATCTTGATTGATAATCTAAAATTCCAAGAGAAAATATTAATAATATGATAGAGAATGAACTCACAAGATTTTTAAAAACGTTTAGTGATCAACAGGTAGTCCCTTCAAACTTATATGAAACAATTAAGCCGATAGGTTCCCATTTACCAAGGCTATACGGACTACCGAAGTTGCTCAGACCGGATATCCCATTGAGATCGATTTTGGACCACAAACATCAAGTGAAGCGTAGTGCTAAGGATGTAATCCAGTCCATTATCAAGGTCAGAAACATAAACACTAAAGGACAAACGATTATCTCCTCAAACGTAACATCATTGCTTACATTGTTTACGTCCCACTCAAGGATATTGTTAAAAATATACGTAAACAAATTAAAGAATAAGAAATGAAGACTACAATCCCTGTAGACATCATTAAGAATTTATTACTAGAATATGCTATAAACGTAAACTTCAATTCAGTGGTGAAATATATAGACAAATAGATGGTGTCGCTACGCGTTCACCACTAGGCCCTATATTTGCTGTCATTTCCCTCACTAAACTGGAAAACGGTCCACTGGTACAGCATATTAACGAGTTTCTATCCTTTTTAATGACCATATTGAACAGATAGAGACACTCAAGCGATTTAATGAAGTTCATCCGTCTAATAAATCTACCTGTGAGGAAGTAAATGGAAGTAGAATAGCCTTTCTTGATGTCGTACTTACAAGGGAAACAGATGGATCACTAAGAAGAAGCTTAAACAAGAAAACATTTTGGGCTGGCAGGTATACAACTTTTCTTAGCTTTATTCTCTAACAATATAAAAGGAACCTTATTAAGACACTTCATTACAGAGTCCATACCATTTGCTCCTTAGATACGGTTGGAGAAGAAATGAAGACACTGCGTACTCTAAAAGGAAATGGATATCCGGAGAAATTTATAAATAAACATTTAGCTATGAAAAGCGAGCATAAGGGAGGCCTGTCAACAAGACTCTGTAATTTAGAGGCGATGCATCCAGATAAATGCTTATACTAAAGTTGCATAAATCAATCAAAATAACCTTTAATGCTGGTAAACTACAATTAATATTTTCCCCACATCCAACGATCATTCTGAGATTGAAAGATAAATCACCTAAACAAAACTGATATGCTAGTGTGGAAACTTGTAACTGAGTAGTGATTATTACTGCTGATACGGCTATTTGCTAAAATCGCAAAATACTTTTATCGGCTACTCATTGCAACAGGCCGAGACTACTACATTGGCGCAAGAGGAAAAAACGTGACTGTAGAAGCAGACTGATTTACCTACCAACAACTACTAACTAAACAACATCTGCAGTAATACTTATGATAACAATAGTAATAGTAATGAATTACACACCATTTTAAATGTTTAAGTTAATTAATAAATGGAATAGAACTAGTCGTTAATCAGTAATCTAAGGTATATAGAATTTGCAAAATCATTAAGTTCACCGACTTGACTGAGAAACATAATTCATATACTTTGTTTGTTCTTATATTCTGCTTTATTACTTACTCCTGTTACCCCTCGTGGTGGAGTAGACTGCTCACCAGCATTCTCCACTAAACTCTTTCCTGGGCAGCATCATTGATGAACAAGGAGGGTCTGATGCAAACATAGAGGCTTTGCTTTGTTACAACTGATTCGTATTCATTCATTAACCACATTCCATTTGTTAGCCTACTTACAAATTTTTCATTTTACTGACCGTATCCCCGATTTATTACTGTCATCTTCAGAACATTCTCGCTCTTAATAGTTTATGGTGTTGACGCACGTACTTCTAGCGTTATTGTTTCGTTTGAATTTCATACTTCCTTACTTTTAGTAACTGGTCATTTTATTTGTCTCTAAATTAAGGTTTTTGGTCATAGATGTGTTCGAAGCATTGCTTGTATTTTGGGGAACGACTGAGTGACGTTGATGTTAGCCATGTAGTACTTGGCAAAGATAATAGATTGATTGATATTGTTGTAAATCTTCCTTGACTGAGGTTGCGTATGCCTAAACACAACCCACCCGAACGAGCTATGCTTTATAGTTCAAAAGTACGTTGGAATGATGCTGAACGAAAATGGGGCATCAGTTCATGAAGTCACAAACTATTAGAATCAGCCATGTTGGTCGATGCAGACTACTTGGTTGGGGTCCGCATTATAATCTTGATCAATTGTTGAAGTTGCTGACCAAAATCGTTCATAAATACGTCGGCGCACTCACTCTTTATCGTCCTCTCGACTTTTAATTTCAGTATCCCGTCACATATACCTTTCGACTCTGTCTTTCTATGCCATATTCTCAAGGTTTAATGTTTTTTTTATAGTTGCTACTGCATTATCAATCTCTTTCATTATTTTCGTATCATTGTGCTAATCTGTGTCAACTTGAATCAACCCACATATGTGCCAGTCTCTATGTTGATGCTATATCTGTTTGTGTATCTAAGTGTTATTCGAAATTAAACCCAGCATTATTTTGCCTTTTAAATTCAACTTCATTCATGATAAAATGGCGTTATATTTGTAATATTTCAACGAGTTGAAAACTGAATTTCTTACGTTTCGGGACTCAGTTTAAATCGCTTCTTCAGAGAATAAACTGAAAACCGAACTAAATTACAATTTTAAATGGTGCAGATAAACAAATCAAGAGATTTTTAATGCAATCAAAACAACTGTAATCATGATAATGTCTTGTAATTAATGTTAAAGATGAGGAATAATAGTAATGTTACGACTAAGTAACCTGATACCCAGACCTGTTGACATGTTAAAAATTCCTGTTACTGATCCCCAGTCTGAAAGTAGGAATGCGACAAATGATAAAATCTCCACATGTGTAGCCTATAAATTCACATGATTAATTAGGCGAATTGTAAGGTTACAATGCGCCATAAATAAAAAGTTGCATTATGTACTAAACTAATGGGCTCGGGGCACAAAATTAAAATAATAGGCCTATAATTAGTGTACAATAGTTTGAGAACAGAAAAAGATTTTAAATTAGTAAACCAAATGGAAAGTTGTAATTCTGGGAGTTTGAAAACCCATTAGACTCAATATTAGTAAATTGCATGTTACAAAATATGAATACTAATGTATCCAAAAACAATTCACAAAGTTTATCACTCTGATTTATCCACCTCAACCTAACAACCTGATTGTATTGTCTGTGTATATTTCTTATCTTTTCCTATCTAATTTAGGTTCCTATTGAACCGACTTCCGAGGAGAAATCACGTATGTATCCTCCATATGAATGGTCAGCTAAAAAAGGATTAATTATAAAGCCAAATTTGGATCGAGATTCTTATTTAATTCGTCGATCTGATACACCTGGATTGTATTGGCGTGTTCATTTAGCGAAATCTTCCGAAACAGAACAAGATAGTTTCATAGACAGGAAATTGTTATCAAACGAACTGGATTAGCTATATTCTTGATTGTTGATAATACAGTACTTATGTATGTATATACTACTTCTATTACGTGTTTTATTTTATGCTATATGTGGTGAAATATTGAGTTCCTAAGTAAGTCATGTAGGACTTGTAGTAATGGTGTAATGCTTTGAGTTAATACATACTGCTATAATCCTGGATAATATCATCAGTCACAAAATGGTCGAAACATATATTTAATACATAATTACAGAGCTGAACTATGTAATTATTTAATTTGTCGCAACGTTTGGTCGAAAATGTAACGATTATGAAGACTTGTCATTTGAGTGGATGTGTATCAACTGGTGGTAGATTTTCTCGGTCTGCATCGCTAAACTGTAGTGATCGGAACACCTTCAAAGAATATTTATCCGTGACTGTTCAACAGTTTATTTTCCTCTTAAAGGTTCTTATAGTTAAATTAAAGTCAAGAGATGACCTACTCGTACTAAACTTATGGTTGTCAATAATATAGGCAAACACTTCTAACACCAACTGCAGCGAATAAAAATCTGCCCTCTGTATCCTCAGGTAATTAACAAAAGCAGTTAAATTCGTACTTTGAAAAAGTTAATTAGGTGTACAGCTATTACGAGCTGTTTTTGATTATCTGATCAATCCTAACGTAGAGGAATAGTGACAAGTAAATATTTACTCGTAGTGTGGCGGACGCTACTCACAAGTAATCTTGTGAGTAGTATGTAGCAGGACGTGGCGTCGAAAATGTCACAGTCATCAGACGGAGAGAAGAGTCTCAGTTAATCAAAAGCACGGCGAAGGCAGAACAGTTGGTGACCAGACAAGATGACAGTTCGGACCTCAGAACACACTGGATGATGCAAGTGGATGATCGAAGGCCATGTATGCTTATAGTAGACTAGCTCGGTATTCACCAACCCACATCATTTATAATACTGCATATGAGGAGTGGGAGTAGCATATAAATATTGGGATGGATAAACCGTTTGATTTTCTGCCCTTCTTGTCAGTTCAGTTACGCTGAATCAAGCGAAGAAATAAACTATGGATAATGGTATGGAGCTTAGGAAATAATGAAATGAGTACTGGACAATTTTATTTTTAAACACAGAGATCGCTGGATGTGTGGTTGAATATATTCCTTTAATCCTTCCTGTCCTGTGTATGACCAAAGAACCAACAGCACCTGCCTGAAAAATAGGTTTTTTGCTGGAGTAGATAAACGCTTAAAATTAATTTTACAAAGTCAATGACAATTAGTGCAGTTACCAGTCTTTGGTTTAAGCCGCGTTGTTTAAAGTCTTAGGAACCATAAGTGACCACTTAAAATTAGTCTCCATAGTTTAGATAAATCCTTTAATATCTTATTAATGTGTCCAAAATAGAATATGATTTATGTCCTGTATTCCGGAAGTAGTCTATTGGGTTTATCCAATTGTTGTTCGTTCTTCGCATGTCTATCTCCAATTCTCAGCGTAATGTGTTCTTTGGCCTTAAGGATCCCAAGTGATGGCTTGCCTGGTGACGCAGTTAGGTGTTTTCCTCAATGTGTGTCATATCCACTTCCAGCGACTTTCCCTGATTTCTTCCTCCGCTGGGATCTGGTTTCTTCTCTCCCATAGTAGGTTGTTGCTAATAGCATCTGACCAACGGATCCGAAGTATTTTGCATAGACAGCTGTTAATGAACACTTGTATCTTCTGGATGATGGCTTTCGTAATTCTCCAAGTTTTCGTCCCATACATTAGAACTGTCTCGACATTTGTATTGAAAATCCTGACCTTGATGCTGGTTGACAGTTGTTTTGAGTTCCAGATGTTCTTCAATTGTAAATATGCTGCTCTTGCTTTGCCGATCCGTGCATTCACATCTGCATCACACTCACCATGTTCATCAATGATGCTGCCCAGATATGTAAAGGTTTTTACATCTTCCAAATCTCCGTTAAGTGTGATTCGATTGATGCGTCTAGTGTTCTATCGGAGAACTTCACTTTCCCTTTTGTGTATGTTGAGACCTACTGCTGCTGAGGCTACAGCCACACTGGTTGTCTTCTGCATTTGTTGTTGCGTGTGCGATAGAAGAGCCAGATCATCTGTGAAGCCTAGACCATCCAGCTCCATCCTAGCTGTTCACTGTATCTCATTCTTCTCCCCCAGATGTTGACGTCTTCGTAATCCAGTCGATCACCAGGAGAAAGAGAAAGGGTGAGAGTAAGCAACCTTGTCTGGCACCGGTCTTCACTTCGAACGAGTCTGTCAACTGTCCTGTCTCATACAGTTGTCTCATGTTTCCTTCTCTTGCAGCTTTTTCCCCCATCATTTCTAAATCTTCCACATATTTACTTTTGTCAGTTCTGATGCTTCTCTTCACTTGCTTGTTTACTTCTGTGTAATCATATTGTGTGTTGGCTTTCTCTGCTCTTATTCGGCTGGTATTGATTGCTGCCTTCTTGTTCCTCTTTGAATCCTATCCAGTGTATCAACAGTGATTCATTCCTTGTGATGGTGCTTTTTATGGCCCAGAACACAACATGTTGAAGTGATTGCATCACTGATCCCCTTCCAGTTGTTCTTCATAGGAGTTCCCTTTCCATTGAGTAGATCGTGAAAGGTATGAAACTTATTGCTGAGGACTATTTTTGAATTCGTTGATTTTGTCAGTATCCCGAAGGAAGGCCGTATTAAACTTGTATGATGTTGTCCGCCCGTTTTTCAGTGCTTCTTGAGTTTCAGTTTCATATTGGCGACAAGCAAGCTATATCAGCCCCTCCTTGTTCGCACATCCTCCATTGTCCTCATGAACTTTTTATTGATGTAAATATAGTTGATTTTATTCTGTGTAGTGTGATCCGGTGAAATCCATGTGGCTTTGTGTATGCGTTTATTTAGGAATATGGTGCCGCCTATGACCAGTTTATTGAAGGGACATAGATTTGCAAATCTCTCACAATTTTCGTTCCTTTCTCCTAGTCCGTGTTGTCCCATGATGTTTTCATATCCGGTGTTGTCCATTCAGAATGCCTAAGTCCTTTACTGGGCAATTCTCAACGATTGACTGCAGCTGATCGCAGAATTGATCCTTAACGTCTTCATTGTAGTCGTTGGTAGGCCCATAGCATTGGATGATGTTCATTGTCATGCCCTCTTTCTTTGTTTTGAAGGAGGTTTTGACGATCCTGGATTCATGAGATTCCCATCCTATGAGTGCTTTTTGTGCTTGGTTGGATAGCATCAGTGCAACTCCTTGTGTATAAGGAGCATTCTCTTCTTCATGACCGGAGTGTAACGTCAGCTCTCCTGAAGCTAGGTTTTGTTGTCCAACCTTCTTCCAATGTGTTTTACTGGTTCGAAGTACCTCCAGGTTGTATCTTTTCATTTCTGCAGCAACATGGATAACTCTCCCGGTCTTCCACATTGTACGAACATTCCATGTACCTAAATCAATGGTGTCTGGTTGTCGGAATGGGGGCATCAGCCTCGTATTATTTATTATTTATTTGAACACATATATATTGGTACAGGAGTGCGCCAAATATATATGCGCCACACAAAACAATGAAAATTTAAGAAGAAAAAAAAACAATGAGGGACGTAAAAAAACAATAATGAAGTGATTGGTGCAAGGGAATGCAGTAATAATCATAGTCATAATGAGGGAACGGAAAGGTATAAGCAGAAGAAATCTTTCAGTTAAGTAGGAAACAACCACTTTTATGAAGAAAGTAAAAGGTTACAGCAGGATCGCCACTGGCTTTTATTCTGAGCCATATCTGATAACGTCTCTAGCCACTGTGTAGCACCATCTCTCGGACCCCAATCAGGGAGTCGAGAAGGACCGACACAAACCAGCCCTTTGCAGCTTTCTTTCATACCACGACACCATGTAATATACTGACCACCTCTCCGCTTTTTCCAACCAGTCCCAGAGTCGGCAAACAATGCGCGACGTGGAATTCTCTGGGACGAAATTCGTAGAACATGTCCAAGCCACCGAAGTCGGTGTTTCAAGATGGTGACACCAATTGAATTATCATCTCTGTGCCCGAACACACGATGCCGAACCTCTGCATTACTGACATGGTGTTGCCACCTGATTTCAGCAATCCTTCGGAGACAGCGATGATCGAACACAGAGAGTCGTCTAACGTCCTCAACTCGGAGAGGCCAGGTTTCACTAGCATAGAGCAAAACTGCTCTCACCGACGCGTTGTAGATCCGACCTTTTACAGCCAGACTAACATCACGAAGGCGCCAAAGGTGGCCCAGATTGGCATAAGCCACTCTGGCTTTCACTATACGTGCATTGATCTCATCACTCACACCCTCACCAGCACTTATGCAGCTACCCAGATACACGAACTTCTCGACTACGTCTATCTGCTCACCATCCAGGGTGAGTACAGGATTGGAATCCTGCCAGTCTTGTAGAAGTACTTTGGACTTCGAAGGTGCAAAGCACATACCATACCTACGGACACTGATTGCCAACTGATTAAATGCGGATTGCATGCCTTGGGCATTATTGCACAGTAAGACAATATCATCCGCATACTCAAGGTCGAGAAGTCTTTCTCCAGGCAACAGATCCACACCACCATTACTTACATTCATCAGAGCTGTTTCCAGAATGTCATCGATGGTAAAGTTGAAGAGGAATGGTGAGATTGGGCAACCCTGCCTAACCCCACTGCTCGAATGGAACAATGGAGAGAGGTGGTTGTATGCCCTCACTCTACCTGAGGTGTTTTTATATAGGGCCTTTAGGATGTTTATAAACTTCTCAGGCACACCCTTCTTCAATAGACAATCCCAGAGAACAGTCCTGTCCAACGAATCGAAGGCAGCCCTGGTGTCAAGAAACACTACGATTGTTGGCCTTTGAAAAGTATGACGGTGTTCTAACATTTGGTGGAGGGTGAAGATATGATCAATACATCCTCGACCAGAACGAAACCCAGCCTGCTCCTCGCGAGTCAATCTTTCTCGGGTTTTGAACAACCTACGAAG